AAAGCAGCACAATAGAGATATTTATGTCCAAAGGCCTAAAGGAGAGCTTTCAGCTTCATAGTTAAATCCTGCCACGCTGTTGCGGTAAAATTCTGATAAGCGACATGGCCTTGAAACAGTGACATAGGACAACAGAAATGGTGACAAAGGACACAAAGATGGGTTGAAATTGGGACGGTGACAGAGAAAAAAACAAATACAATAGTAAAATATCGACAGCACCATGGCTTCCTCCTCAGTACGCAAAATGACAGGTTTACAAATTCAGACTAGGGACGTGTGTAACCCCTGTAAGAGGGCCTCAAACCTAAGCATTTGTACCTCAGCTTAGAGCAGTCACTAAGATTTCAAGTTGCAAGGTTCAGTCAACTCTCTTTATTGCGGACACTGTAGGGACCTTGAGTTAGTGTCCTCATCAGCAAGAGTGTGTGATAGCGGGAATTTACTTCAGTCAAACACCTGTAATTTATTTTTGCTTGGGATTTAGCCGCTGTCCATATTATCGAAGTGTCTGTTATAGCGGGGTGTCCACAAGGTGAGAGTTGACTGTATATGCAGGTAGAAGGTGGGAAATGGAACAGCTAGGAGGTTCTTTGTGTTCTATTTTCTTTTTGTTTCCTCTCAAACTAGCCGGGGATTGTGCCCATAGTAAGTAGCCAGGGGAAATCCCCTGGCATGAGTAGTTAAATACAATCTTGTAATGTTAATACAGCTAACCTCGCAGCCATCTTAACAGGAAGTAATCATCATGTTCAGGTTCCAGAATATCACTAACACAATCTCGAAACTGATCAAGTAAACAGATGAAACAAAAGACACAGTTAGTGAACTTGCATGGCGTCCAGTTGCTAATAACCAAGGGTTATCGCAAATTTAATGCAAAGTTTTCTAGACTACAAATGATGCTTTGAAGAATTTGAGGACTTTCCAGGATTTATGACGCTTAACCCATTCGCTCCTGGAGATTTTGCCGAAAAACGCGTTTTGAAGCTAGTCGAGTGGTTTTCTGGTCACTGTCGTGCTATAAAGAGCTAAAACTTACCACAAACTGGTTTACAGGTCGAACACTTCGCGGCCTTCTGATCCAGATGCAAAATATCAGCTTGCGAAGTTTGGGCATGCGCAGAAAGCAAAATTTCGACACAGTTTTTGGGTTTAGAAGTGACACAGCAGTCTTGACTTTTACTTTTCGCTTTCTCTCCTCCCTTCGTTTTTTGCTTTTCTTGCCTCATTTTTTTTTCTCTTGCTGGGCATTTAGTAGGCTTGATTTTGGTGGGAAGAGTTTTTAGGAAAGCTTTTAGGATCTTAGGATTAGGCGAAAGGAAAGGTAGGTGGGTAATGGACCAAGATTTTCATGGAGATTTTCAGGTCAATGTCACGTGGTTTTTTGCTTGTTTCTCCGGTGTCCTTGACTGAATTGTGCTCATTCTGATATGGTTTGAAAGATCTCTTCACTCTGCACAAGTTAGTGAAGAAAGTGGTCCTTGACTGTTAAAACTGATGACGTCACAATGGGTAGAAAGGACCTGGATCCGCACGGGCGGTTACGGGCGGTTCAGGGGCGAATGGGTTAAGATGTCCTAATTAGTAAGGTCACCTTATTATACTTTGTTCAATCTCATAATTCAGAAACTTTTATCTATGAAAGGGAAACTTGAAATAAATTTAGCTGGATCACACTGATCAAACCTGACACCACAAATAAACTTTCAAAAAAAAATAATTCCACCAGTTTCAGAAGGAAAATGAAAGTTCCTCCTCATTTTTTTTCACTATCACTCAAGAGTAAACAAGTGTGACATCAAAAAAATGTGAAATTATAGGAATGGTTGGCATATCCAGAAAGAACAAGATGAAAACAAACCCCTTTCCAAAAATACAGTAAACTGCCGCTTAAAAGCACTGGGCTTATACATTTTTGTAATGGGTTTTAGGAGGGCTTTAAAAACAGAGGGGCCTATAACCAGAAAAGAAAACATTATTCAAAACAAGCTATAGCAGTGCACCTTTTGCATTAACTGGTTTTAAATTAAGTTTCAAAACGTTGTAATAAAATGAATTCATTTCAATAGATTTGGAGGGGGCTCAAAATAATTGGATGAATTTTTTTTGTACACAGGTAGATGGACCTTTAACTGGGGGTGCTTATAATTATATAAGAAGCAGGGCTTATACGTGGCAGTTTACGGAATACCCTGTTATTGGTGGGGAGATATATATATATATACATTGTTATGCTCTGGTAAATCAACACAAGTCCTTCTAAATTGGCATGGATCATAATGATCTCAGCCTATTTTAGGAGGATTCAAATGGAGTCATCAGAGCACAGCGGTGCTTATATCTCCCAACCAATTTGCAATAACAGCCTATTAAAGGAGCTGTGTCACAAAATTCAGCCAGATTAGCTAATTACAAAATGCCCGTTAAATCCAAGAGAAACACAAAAATAACTGCTTAAAACATTAAACAAGGTTAAAATAACACAACGATACAACAGATGCCAAGGATGGGCAAAACTGAAGAAGATCGAAATTGATTAAAATTAGGGTTTTTGAAAACTGTCCAGCCTAACAGTTTTAAAAAGTTTATTTCTGCTGTTTGCAACTTCAAAACTAATGCTCAGGAGACATATTTGTTTGTCTTGAATCTCTGACTTTGTCATTTACATCTAATTTTTTTGCTTACTTTAAGTTCCATAGCGATTGAGGGCAAGTAATTGGCAGAATTAAACAAAATAAACTAGACTGCCGTGACACAGCCCCTTTAAGAGGGGCACATTTTTTATATTGCTCTATGCTGGATATGCCAACCAACCCCATGATTTCACAAACTTAGATTTTGTGATGTCATCACTTCTTTTCTGTATTCAAAGCTGCTGATATTATACAATACAGGACTGGCAGTTTAATAGGAAAATAGAACACTGACTTAACATCGCAGACCAATCTACCAGGGTTGTTAGGGATATTTACACATGCGTGTGATTGTCGCCAGTAGGAATGGCAATCCAATATAACCCCTGTTAAAATAATGCATGCGTGCTATGTGTTCCCGTGTTATGTGGAATGCAAATTAAGGTTGTTATGCACCAATTTCTTGGTTTTAGCTTGGGCACATCTTATTATAGAAAGAGACCTTTTATTCCATAAGATGCATCTTAGCTAAGTTGCTTCTCATTCCAGATAAACAGCACCATTTATACGGGAAGTTTGCATCTTATGTAAGACCTGTCTTATTTTCCTTGTTTACACAGCCTCATTAATACTTTCCCAAACAATTTAAAATTTAAGGAGAGTAATCACCAACCTTGGATAGAATGTGTTGTTGTTCTTCTGTAAGGTCTCCCATCAAAGGAAGCTGTTTCTGATGCCTTAGCTAGACTAGTTACACAGAATGAAAAACGTATAAACATGAAAGGGGGAAACGAAGACTGCTCAAGCCATAAAAACCATAAATATTATATTATATACGCTTATTCTACCATATATTCCGGACGGTCGCTACGATTTGATATGCTCAGCCCAACAGAAATCAGCGCAAATAGCACGATTATTATGACGTGACACCACCTTAAACTTATGAAAAAGGAAAAGTAGAAATGAAGTATCTACATCGTAGTGATTTGTCAGGATTATTGAAACACCTGAAAGACGACCAGATGTTTGTTTCTCACCTGACCAAATTAAATCGATCAGGCATACGAGAACGACGAAGTATGAGGCAACAGTCCTGAGCGAATACAACCAAACAACCGACTGATTGTTACGACAGTCTTTACTTCTCAACTTCCTCGAACACAGGTTGAATCGATCACACTTCAAGGGCTTCTTCAAACTGATCAGAAATGATTTATAAAATGTTAAAAGACTTGAGCTTACTTACTTACTTAGTTTCACACGTTTTCTGACGAAAAGCAGATGACAACACTAAAGTGATCTGTAGTCACGTTGGGGTTTGCGTCCTTCTTCGAACAACTTGAATGACTAATCATATTTACATTTTCATAATGGGGAAAAAAAATTCCCTGGCGATCATCGAAAACAAAGAAGGAAAAAATTGTTAACTAAAACCAACAGCTGCGTGCAAGAGAGTGGAACGGACGTTGGGACATCACACGTAGTCTTACATACAGTACCATTTTCTTCCAAAATTGTCACGTGCCCGGTCATATCTTGTTCGGCGCCATCTTTGAAAACTGTTCCATGTCCTTGGTCATGCTTGTGTTGTGATTATCCATGATTATGGATGAAGTGGACTTTGACAGAGAACTTGAAGGAACCACAAAGTTGATAACAAGCCTGAATATAGATCAGGAGTCCGCTTCGTTGAAACCAGGTCGGTTGATGATGAATACCATTCATTATCGAGGAAGCATACATTTTTTCTTAGTTTCACTGCTGCTGATAGTGGATAGAGGAGGTCTTTCACGGAGGCGGCAGCGGCTTGCAGCCGGGAATTTATTAGTACTTAAGTATAATAAATAGTACGTAAGCTTAAGCTATTCATTTATAGCCTTGCACTGACTTTGGGCCGAGTGAAAATGGCGAGAGATGAATCAGATAATTAGCCTGTTACAGCGATACCGTATTTACTCGAACAAGCGCCGCATTTGGTTTAGAAACTTTTATAAGCGCCGCTCCCGAATAAACACTGTGGCTCTGATATAAACAAAATTAGAAGATGCTAATTCTGTTAGTTTAATACGGAAAATAATAGTACTGTAGTTTAATACAATCAATCCTTTTGTCGCATCCAACTTTCAAATAAATGCCACCCTTGAATAAGGGCCGCACTTAAGGCATGAAAAATTGAATAAGCACCACCATGCTTATCCCAGTAAATAGCATATATATGCTACACCTGATTGGATTTTTTGGTGGTGAACATACACTGTATCGCTGAATCTAAAGTTTAGATTTATTCAATTTAAAAAATTCTTAGTTGCTGATGTAGGGTTACGTTGTCATTATGTTTTTCTTGTTACAGTTGAGTCACACAGTAATGGATTGAATAGCAACAAGGCTAAGTACAACAAGTTAATTGAAAAAGCCAAAGAACTAGGCAGGCAGGGACAGCTTGAGCAAGCACTTAGATTATTTGAAAAAGCTTACAGAATACATCAGAGTGAGAAGCTTGGAAGAAAAATTGAAAAGCTCAAGGTAATTATTGTTTAGTGCCATTGGTTGGCAGTGGTGTTTCTAGGGGGGGGGGGCTGCCACCTTATTTTGAGTCCTGAAACTGAGGCCTGCAGGGCTGGGAAAATTATTTTCCAGAGGTGGACCCTCTCTTGTGTCTGAGTTTGTTTGAGGAAACTCCCTCCCATTTTACCTGAAAGTTTGGATCCACCACCCAGGAGCTTCTCTATGGGTACCCACAGCTGTGGATGTCCATTTCTTTGCACAGATACCATCAAATTGTCGGTTTTGTCAAGAAAATTGTTGCATATCAATAATTGTTTTGCGTAGTATGCTGTTAATGAGCTTGAGCAGCCATGATGACAACAACGGAAATGAGAAAATGATAAAGAGAAAATAACATCTTTGGTGTCATCACAAGACTAATGTTGTCAAACATGAATGAAGGGCAATGCTATCATTGCCTTAATCTCATAGGTTGTCGTTTCATCAGCAGAGATTGTCGCAACTTTGATTTTGTTGGAAATACCCATGTAGAATCTCAATCAATACTATCATTATCTTGTGAAGTACAACTGTTGGGATGGGATTTCTTGTCATACTTGTACACTCAGATGTCTAACAACATTCACAATCATAAGTTTGAATTTTCCTGCTGTCTTTAGATTAATGAAACATGTAATGTTGTCACATTGTATCTGAATTTCAGGAAGCAATCGAAAAGTACAAAGAAGTGGAAGAGGAGGAAGATGATGAAGAGGAAGATGACAACGGCATGCGTGAAGTTGGAGATGGCTTCAAACTACCAACAGAAATTCACCAGAAATTATACCCATATCAATTACAGGGCATACTGTGGTTCTGGCGCCTGCATCAGCAAGGCAAGGGAGGGATTCTTGGTGATGACATGGGGTAGGTGTCTACCTTCTCAAGCCTGATATTAAAGGCTGATTTGTGTATGTGCATTATAATGAATTTGAGTGGCCACCTTTGTGAAGTGGTCTGTTAATCCATCGCTGATTGTCTGTTTATTAAACACCAGGTATGCTGGCTTACAAGCTCAAAAACCATGTTAAAATGACACAGTAAGATCAAAGGGATGAAAAACTTAAGATCGGTACAATTAAAGCAATAATATTATAGTAGAGATCTTTTAAAACCACTCTAACACTAACTGGCTATTGTATAAGACACCTAGCCTCACTGAGAAATCAACCAACATTTCCCAACTCACCAATGGTTTCCCTGCAAAAATAACTCCTGGGGAATGAGTGCAGAAATTCCATACTGTTGACTTGTCACTTTCCTTTCCTTCAATTCTGCAGATCTCATGTGGGGAAACTGTTTGTGGAATCACCTGTAGCCTGCATGACCCATGCAACGGCATTTTCACAGACCAGTTTATTTTTACTGGTAGATCTATTTTCCCACAAATTTTGGACATCAAATAAGTCTTACAAATCAGTCATCAAAACCAGAGACTAGAAAACAGTTTTTCTGGTGTTTGATAGCATTTACTTCTCCTTTTTGTATGTGTCGTACTATTTTTTTTTTCAAAGTTAACAAACTTTATTACAAAAGAAAAAACAGGCAACATGCATTAGAACAGTTCTTATGTAATTAAAATAAATAAATATACAACTAAACAAACAAACAAAAAACCGAGAAAATGCATGTATGTGTACTGTATGCTATAATTATTAATAATGTTAAAACTAAGTTACCCGGTATTGGTCTAAAATTGTCACACTATGGATGTGCAAGCATACAGAACAGTACTTCCATTTTCACAGAAAAAGTGCTGAAAAAATGATGCAAAAAATAACTTGATCTGTGAAAACACTGTTGCAAAGCCTAAGTATGCAAGGGAGTTGCACTCCCCTGGTTATGGGCTCCTAGTATCACATCACAAAATGTCAGCTGTTTTCTCAGACTACAAAACATACTCTGACAGTACATCTACCTAACATTGTTTGCAGATTAGGAAAGACTGTTCAGGTCATATCATTCCTAGCAGGCATGTTTGATGCAGGATTAATCAAATCAGCTCTGATTGTGATGCCAGTATCACTATTGTCAAATTGGGAGAAAGAGTTTAATAAATGGTAAGACATTCACTGAGCAATGTAGACCTCCCCCACCCTCCCCTTGCTGCCCTTTCTTTGTCTTTCCCTCCTGTCAATGACTGGGAATACATGTTTCCCCTGGTTATACACTTGTAGGTAATTATTACTAATAGATACCGTAAATCCTCTATTAAACCCCCCAGGGGCCTATTTATTTCAAGCCCAGTTGAGGGGGGCTAGCCCGCGGGCACAGACGTATTTCCAGTTATTGCTTCTCTCTACGGGTGGAGAGAAGTGAGAACCGGAAATACATCTGTGTTGGCAGGCCAAGGTGGAGGGGAGGGGGGGGGGTTAATAGACACAGGGGCCTTTTTGCTTTAGAAAAGATGGTGGTATCAGTTCTCCATAAAGAACTAGAATACACAGTGGAAAAGCTCAAGTACAAGAAGATTGGAGGTCATGCAGCCGAGGATCAGAATCAAATCTGAACTTCCAGTTGGTAAATAAATCATCCCGGATTGGCCAAGTTCTTTTATATCTTTTAGATTTATTATAGGACCATTAAGAGAAATTTTTCTCCCTGGACCAACGCGGGAAATTCCAAGAGGCTTATCTTAACTGCTCGCATATTCAGTCATATGCGCTCGTGATAAGCCCTCCCTCACTCTGATATAAGCTCCCAAGATATAAGCCCACCAAAAATCCTTTACAACATTGCTTAAGCCCAGGGTTTAGAGCTGGGATTTTAGGTATGTGCACAGTGTACAGCAATCCTTTCACTTAATTTCAGGGCTCAAAATTGCGACTCACTGGTCACCAGTGCCACTAAAAATTGAGCACTTTCAACTGCTGTTTTAAGACCTGGTCACCAATTGTTGAGTAACTTCATGTTTCAATGAGATACCCCCTTGACCCTCATCTCTATGAATTATAATACATGTAGTGATCATGCACTTCCCAGCGTAAACCAAGGTACCGAGTGCTCTGTGTTCTCTTGCAACTCAAACACCGCACAAACGAATAGGACTAACGAATTACCGTTTCGTAAAATGAAGCAAAGATAAGGCAAGATCAAAAACGTACGAATCCAGACTACGATTGTCACATCAATACGGAGAAATCAAAGGAAGACTATAATGACGAACTGGTGTACTGACAAACGGAGCAACAACTATAGCCTTACAATGTATGAATTAAATAAAATAATAACATAAAGATAAATCAAGACTAACACCGTACGAACGAACAACGGAGAAATGTAAGAAGACAAGACTAACATCCTGCGAACAGACTGACGTACGGACATACGGGGAAACTTAAAAAGAAGGAGGAACTGACCTAAAGAGAAACGTAAAAGGAACGTAAGAAGACATACAAAACGATTAAACATTGTTGAAGGAGCAAACTGACAGACAGTGAAACGTGAGACAACAAGACTAACATCACGCGAAAGACCTGACGTACAGTGTGTGAAGAAATGGTCAGAAAAAGACAAGGATAACGTACAAACGAACGTACAGGTCAATATAATAAAAACTGAAAAGTAACATCATACGGAGGTAACTCGTAGAAGAAATTGATCGACACATCGAATATCATAGTTCACAATATGGCGAAGATGTGAAACTTATAAATAAGCTTAAATTGTAGGGACAATGCACGGAGGTCTCTCCTTGGAGTACGAGGATTTCTGAATAAAAAAGTGGGAACTGTTTTAAATCCTTTCTCGGATTTTACAAGGTCTTCAGGAAACGAATAAATATGGAGCTCCGTTGACCAGTGTACTAGTATTTTCTTCCGATATAACTACCATACTACTTTGAGGTCAAACTGGTACCTTACAGTTTTGATTTGTCGACCAAATATTTTCCTGTTGTCGCCGGCTGACGCCCAAATGAATGAGGTCAATTTTTAGCCCTGGACTTTTTTTCAAAATGATAAGTTGCATGCATGTATCTTCACCACAAATACAATGCATTCTTGACGACCTCATACAATCTCATTAAGAAGAGAAACAATTTTGCTTCCCTGTGACTGTATTTTTGATATCTCAGGGCCCCTGGAATTCGTGTTAAACTTTTCCATGGATCAAACAAGAATGAGAGAGAAAGAAACCTTCATAAAGTACAGCGAAGAACGGGTGTGTGCCTGACAACATATGGTAAGATGATCAAGTTTTTTTGTCTGTCCTCATACAGATAATATGTTTTCCCTTGATAACACTTAATGAGCTACAAGGTTAACTCTCTTTGTATGTGTATGAATTTCTTATTATCATCTGAAGGGCTTATTCAAACTAGCTACGAGGCTCTAGCAAGAACATCGTCTGGAAGCACGTTTACATGGGTGAGTCATATCGACTACTGAAGTTTTCTTTCCTTTCTGTTTTAGGGATAAAAGCAGCTATTGCATCATCATCATCATCATCATCGTCATGGTCATCGTCATCATCATTATCACATAATCATTGTCATAATCATCATTATCACATTTTCATCATCATCATTATCTTCATCATTATTATCACATCATCATTGTCATATCATTATCATCACGTTGCTCATCATCATCACCAGTCTTCTTTGTTCTCGAACTATCTGACTCAACTTTTAGTAGTGACTTTTGCCAACGTAAGGCCTCTCTCCGTATTTTCTAACATCCCTATGCACCTAACATTCCACTGTCCGATCTTCACACACACACTTTTGGGGACATCAATAGTTATTTCATTAGCAGTTTGAGTATATTGGTTATATTTGTTCTTCAAAGCTAGAACTGTTGTTTGTTTGTTCTGTTATTTTCAAGGACTATATCATTTTGGACGAAGGCCATAAGATTAAAAATCCATCCATGAAAACCAGCAAAAACGTCCGCGAAGTTCCTGCAAAGAATCACTTTATCTTAACAGGCACACCAGTGCAAAACAATCTCAGGGTAAGTCCCTTGTGAGTGATGATGAGATGAAGGGGTGGCGAGGGTAGGAATATGAGTAAAACGATGTGTGGCTTTATCCCATAATAAATTTGCCAAGTGGGACATATCCACTTAAGCGTTAAGAAGTGTAAAGGAAGCGACCATAACAGTGTCTGATGTGTTTAATCATGTTTTTACGAAGAACAACCGAGACGAGAGGGAATTTCCATCGAAATGACGTGGCAATATGGCAGGTTCCGCGGGTTACAAACTTGGGTGAAAACACTTTTACGTACGAGGCATGTAAGACTCTGCAATGACAGTGTGAACTGCTGTGGGCCATTTTCTCAGTGATGTCATTTGACTACAAGTACCAGAATTCATTTTGGTTCTGCTTTTTATATTTCATTTTGCGATTGTCCAATGAAAATACTTCTAAAAACCGTATGGCTGATAATTAGAACTGGTTAGGACCAGTAATTTAAGATTTGTTTGTTGCCTTCATTGAACTTCTGAAGCACCGCATTGTGACTCCGCATGCGAGACAAGCGTGGTGTTTAGGGAGGGGTACTTTCCCTTCCCCCCTCCCCTTTCTTCCCTCTTCCTTCTGTCAGTCTCCTCGCACTTTTTTTGCTTCCTCTTCTTGCCCTCCTCTACTTATTGCTATTGTCAATCTAATTACAACGTCTTCTTCTTTATCACCAGGAAATGTGGGCGTTGTTTGACTTTGCGTGTGAAGGAAAATTGCTTGGCTCTTCACGAACATTCAAACAAGAATATGAAAACCCGATTGTCAGGGTGAGAACATGTTTGTTTTGCTTTGCAGGGGGGGTTTTATCCAGCAACTCCAAGCGGAAAAGTTTGCTTTCAAT